TAGAAATGAATACAGTGCACAGAAGAGCAAATAGAAATGGACGAATACCTACCACCAATGCATGCACAAATATATAGTGAACGCGCACTTACACACACACACACACACACACATACATACATACATAATATACACACATACACATACACGTATACACGTAAATACATATCAATAACCAGCAAAAGCACACAAATGAAAAACGCATACACACAAATAGATGAATACGTCCTGAACTTATACTCGTACTTATACTACGTTTAATCGTCTTTGCTCTTTTTTCTTTCCCTTCCTTTTCACGTAACTCGCGAGAGAACCCGGCTTTCGTGTCGCGCGGCAATATAATTATAATATTACAAGACAAAGCGATAACGTCGGCTACCACGGACGAGAGAGCGAACGAACGATCGAGCAAATGCCGCGAGGTAACGTGCGAGTTCCTGAGAAAGGAAACACGTCGACCACTTTCTCTCTCTCTCTTTTTCTCTCTCTCTCTCTCTCTCTCTCTCTCTCTTTCGCTTCTCCATAATTAATTACCCTCCCTCCTCTCCCTCCCCCTTTCTCTCATCGCCTCAAACTATCGTTGAGAGCACTGCCGTTGAATTTATTCCCTCGTTTTTCGAGCTTCATTGCAACGTCGAATCGAAAATTCGCACGAGAAATAATTCGAATCGCGTGTTAGTACGAACGCAACGCGACACGTCGACTTGAAAGAGTCAACATTTCACACTTCGTAATGTCAAAATTATACGTTGTCATTTTAATTTACAAACATACTCGAAGGATATTTAAGGGCTTTACAAAAAAAAAAAAAAAAAAAGAAAAAAGAGAGACAATAAAAAAACATCTTCAACATTAGACGCATAACGCATATAAAAGAAAAAAAGAAAAAAACATAGTAAAATTAATATAATAAAATAAATAAATCAAATAGATAAAAGAAGAAAAAGAGGAAGAAAAAAAATGGAAGAAGGTGAAACCTTTTTTTATCATTTCGAAAACATCTCTAAAAATATTCTTCCCAAGACACGAATTACATCTACATAATAACATACACGCATATAGAGTAGATTGCAATATATACACATACACAATAATATACATATATATATATATATATATATATATATTGTAAGTTTTCTAAAAAGAAGAAAAGAAAAAAGGAAGAAAAAATATTATTTCACTACTTGGTAATGCAAAACACGTAACATTATTGTTCACCACGCTTATGTGCCGAACCATTTAAAGGTCCACTGCCTGCGGCTCACCACGTTGAAGTTTCAGCGAAGGATTTGCAAAATGGACAAAAGACGAGGGATGAAGGATCGTGGCAAGAAGTTACTCGAAGAAGATGAGAAAAATGGGAAGAGGAAAAGGAAACGAGAGAGAGAGAGAGAGAGAGAGAGAGGGAGAAAGAGAGGAAAGAGAGTGAGAGAGAGAGGGAGAGCGTCCAAGGGACTGACGGAATTCTTATATCGTATTCTGTAGCCGCAGAAAATGGATTTATATCCGTCTTTCGAAGAGACCAAATGTATGTTGTGATCCACGCGAAACTCTTCTTTCCCTCTTTCCCCATTATTTATTCTATCCCGTGGAAAACGCCCGGCCCCCTTATAAGAGGGTGGAGGAGGGCTCCTTTCTCCAACGATCCGTAGCTCCGATCGGATTTGTTTATAAGCTACGTTCTTACCGACACCATTACAAAGCCTAATCTTCTTAGAGAATACTCTCTTATGAAAGTTTCTTGTGATAAATCCGCGCGTTCCTCATTTCCTCGATTTCCTCATAATAATTTTCACTTTCGAAAGTAAAAGTTTCGTGATCTAATAAATTTCGAATAAAGACGATGAAAAAAAAAAAAACAAAAGTATGCATTTGTTATGATCTCAATCGATGATTATGAAATTTACATAATTTATACATACTTATGTATATATCTTGTTAATAATCACACGTTATTATAATATAGATTCATGTAAAATAATATACATATATTTAAATTAATTTCTAAAAAATTCTTAAAGTTGATCAGTTTCATAATTATATCCTATATAATTAGTTTAATTGGTTAGAACAAGCTTACTAAATAATTTAGGTTATAAATACATATAATGATAAAACAAATAATACTATTAATATAAATAGAAAAAATAGTAATAAATATATATGAGAATACATATATAATGCTCATAAATTATATAACGTAGATATAAATGATGATAATAGGAGATCTCTTTCTCAGTAAGTTTCTCGTGATAAATCCATGCGTTCGTTATTTTCTCGTTTCTTAACAATTTTCATATTGAAGTATAATTATATATATGAATGGTATATAATTCGTACATACTTATATAGTACATATATTGTTAATAATCATACATTATTATAATGTAGATTCATCTAAAATAATATTAGTGATAAAATTGAATTTCTAAGAAATTTTTCAATTTGACCATTATTTGTATGATTAATCAATTCCATAGAATAAGCTTGCTGAATAATT